ACAAAAAAATATCACCCTGATTGAGACAAGCCCTGCTCAGAAAATGCCCTGTTCTTCCCCCCCTTCCCCCCCCCCCCACACACATGCAAAATCTTTATTTTTCTAGGCTCCCAAACCAAGCCAAGCCTGTATCATTACCTAGTAATAAGGAAAAGGATTCACAGATACCAAACAGAGGCACAGAAGCCCCTGCACGCACACATACACACACTTAGCACTCTCCAGATGTGAGCACACTTAACTCCCAAAAGCCTAATGGCCACGCTGGGTAGAGATTATGGGGATCAAAGTCCAATACCTCTGGAATTCAGAAAGGGGGGTGGGAGGAAAGCTGGATTGAAAAACTTTCCTTCCTAACTACTAAAGGAACAGGAGGGAACAGGCCAACTGGGACCGAGCTGCCGATTTTAACCCAACTCCTTGCCTGCCTTCTCTTGTACACAACAAATATATCCTATAAAGGTTAGGAGGACCATCACTCTTACAGATGCTCAGAAGATGGGTTTTCCAAATCTTTAATATTCATGAACAGATGTTTTGTGCATTGATGTAATCCTGCCCTTACACAAGCTGACATGGTTCTGTCATCACAAATGGGTCAACCCAAGGTAGACTGATGTAGAGGAATTTCAGTGCCTAATGGAATAAGTTATTCCTCAATGCGCATGTCCCAGCTGTATTGTCTGAAGCATGAATCCTCCCAGGTAGCCCACATGGAGGTCAATGCAGACTGGTGCTGACACAGCACCTAGTCCAGACAGGATGCCCTGAGGGAGCCCTATTAATCAGCAACCTCTCCAAATGCTTCTGATGCAGCCAGTGCAAAGTAACAGTGTTCACAACACATGCTGAACCAGCTCAAGTATGAGCTTAGTTTTGCATTGCAAAACTAAGCATGATCAGTTTTAACTTCTATTAGTTGGATTGTGGCTTAGCATGTTGTATAAAACCAAGCTATTTGGTTACTTTATGGTTGATTCAGAAAATGGGTTAATTCCAGAACCAGGATAAGGGTGTTATGTGAATCAAGCTGAAGCGGAAACTGTTGTAACCATTTTGGGCCTGTTTATCTGCAGACTCAAGGCTTTTACAGAAATTTGGTTGCTGGTGGACTGGCAAATTAGTTCCCAGATTTGTTTCAAGTTTAGTAAAGTTTGGAGCAACCATGTTAATAATGTAAGAAATCTATCACAGCAAATCAAGGCCCCTTAGTACAGTATTTTGCTACGAAGGCCAAGCAGATGCTGATGAGAAACTCAAAGGCAGATCCTGCCTTTAACTGTCCTTTCTACTTTTATTTGCCATCAACTCTGAAGCTGGCAATTCTGCATAGCCATCCTGTAATCCCCATTCATCTATCTCTCCTACGTTAATTTCTCTAGACGTTTTTTTCCCCAACCAAAAATAGTCTCGATTCATATCACAGCATTACATTCAGTGCAGATAGCCAGAAAATTATCAAGCCCTGCTCTGAAATGCCCCCAACCCCTACCCCAAGGAGCCAACAGAATTTCTTGCTGTCTCAGAAGATCTGTCTTACTATTATTTATATTCTCTAGATCAGGGTTCCTCAACCTTGGCAACTTTAAGACCTGCGGACTTCAACCTTGCTGCCTGGGGAATTCTGAGAGTTGAAGTCCAGACGTCTTAAAGTTGCCAAGATTGAGAAACCCTGCTCTAGATTATCAAAATTGCACTTCCAGAATTTCATCTGTGGGATACACATGAACGACTCTTTGTTCCTATAGCTAATGCATTGGAACCAGGTTTGGAAAAGTGAATCCTGCCTCTCTGGGTTCTTTTAATGCTCTCACATGGTCAATCAATTTCTCCTATCAAAGCTATTTTCCAGATTCTCTATATCCAATTACAAACTGCTTGGTTTGCAAAAGGACAATGATAAGAAATCAAACCTTTTCCAGCAATTGTCATTTATTCCCAGCAAGAATGTGTATTTTTCCAAAGGTCCTGGTCTATAATTCATCCTGTAGTAGTTGATTCTATAAATTGACATTTGGCACGTTGTAGGTGATGCGAGTGGCTTGAATATTCGCACATACAGAAAGGCAAAACAGGGCACAGCTGAAACACACATTTCAGCCCGCTTCTTCCTTCCTCCAAAATCCACTTGATAGTGAAGGGATCCTTCTGCAGGAAGGCAATGTAGTCTAGGAGCATTGAGAGATTTAAGTTCAAGTCCCCACTTGAACACAGTCAAATGGGTGGTGTTGATCAGCCGATACAGAGAGCATGGGAATGGCCTTGAAGGACAGGAGGAAGAGCTGCTACCAAGGCAACAGTCAGATAAGTGGTGCTTGAGCCCGTTCCAAGAAACTAACTTGAGAAAATGTCTCAGACCAGCCTCTTCCTGGTTCACATGGAATAAAGTGAGGGATGGAGGAGGCACATTTAGACTTGCGAGGTTCTGTTACTAGAATTGTTCCAATAAAAATAGTCCTGACCTATATGGCACTGGTTTCTTAGTCTGGTCTACCTTATTCAGCTGATAGCCACTCTATTCAGCTGAACCTATCTCACAGAATTATTGTGGGGATAAAACAAAGAGAAGCCACTACAGACCTTGAGCACTCAAGAGAAAAGGCAGGGTATAAATGTATGTTAATTCCAGTATGGTATAACTCTTAAAATGTTGTTCAGGTCCTTCCTCAGCCATGGAAACTACCTGGTGGACTTTGGGCCAGCTCCTCTCTCAAACCAACTTACTTCATAAGGCTGCTATGGGGGAAAATGGGAAGTGTCTACGTTATGTACTCTTTGAACCCCTGATCACTGGGCTGTAAATCTAACAAATAAATAGGTAAAGTAGGCAGATATATGAACAAACTTGGTAGAAGTGCTAGAGCCATCCTTGTCTATTCTTATTCTGACTGCACAGAAGAGTTGTGTATACTTACATCTGTATGTACTGTATGTGTGTACATTTATGTTATGTGTGCATACATGTACATCAGAGACTGCCATTCTCTTCCAGTACCAATCAAGAAGTACTTCCGCTTTGATTAGAAAGAAGTTGGAGTTGGGGGGAGTAAAGAATGGTACCATTCTGAAAGACAGGCAAAGCTTTTCCATCCACATTAATTTCTACATGTGGAATCTCAAAGAAAATCTTTGCCTGAAAAAACCCACAGCCAGCATTGTGTTCCTCCCCACTGCAACATCTGTCTCATCCACAAGAAAAAGACGAGGCTTAACCTCTGTGCAAACACCTAGGGAACGTTAGTGGATCTCTGCATGGAAACTACTCCCACAACAGCCCCTTGAGTAACAACTTACAGATAGGGATTTGCCAGCTCAATCAGATTTTCAAAAGTCCAATCTTACCGAATTAACAAAATATGAGGGAGGTTAGCATGGTCAGTAACATCACCTTTTTAGAAATAAACCAACACTGACCCAAGAACAGAGATGAAGACTTGAGAAAGCACGATGACATAAAATGGCTCTAAGTCAGTGTTCCTCAACCTTGGCAACTTGAAGATGTGTGGACTTCAACTTCCAGAATTCCCCAGCCAGCCCCCTCTGGTGTGGGAATTTTGGAGTTGGAGTCCACCCCCCTTTAAGCTTTCAAACTTGTGGGGAAAAGCTCTTAATGGAAAAAA